TCCTACCAAAAAAATGTAGATTTCCCATCTAATATTAACACATTCACATCATTTTGAATGATATCAAATATTCATATCCCTTCCACATATAAATTGAATTTTACATCATAATCAACCTTTAATGTTATTAAATATGCAATGAAGTATACCTATTATTTATATTGGTTGTAATTCTCTATCTAGTTTTGATTTTCTTTGAGGATTCTCTGTCATCTTTGAAATAATAAAAAAATAGTTATATATATATATATTATTTTATAATTCAGTTTTGTTTTGTTTTTCTTTGGGAATTGTCATCTTTGAAATAATAATAAAAATAATTTTTTAATAATAGTTATACATATATGTATATAATATATATTATTTTATAATCCAGTTTTGTTTTGGTTTTTCTTTGAGAATTGTCATCTTTGAAATAATAATGAAAATAGTTGTTTTAATAATAGTTTATATGTGTGTGTTATATATGTTATTTCTTTACCTGTCTATATATTAGTTTATGATCCAGTTTTGTTTTTCTTTGGGGATTACCTTTCAAGATTAATAAATATTTTTTTTATTTTTTGTATAAAATTATGTTTATAAAATTGAAAAAATTTGGTACATATTGAAATCTTTCAAAATCAATGATCTCCCTTGATCTTTTTGTCCAAGCCTTTTATCTAACGAAAAGTATATTCAAGCAAAACATCATCATTTTACAAGTAGTTTTTAATCACTTGTATTATAACCAGCCTTTTCTATTTTAAAACAATTGAAAATATGCTACTGCATTCAATTTTGTCACTATGTGATAAATGAATGTCCATGCTTCCAACTATAGGTTGTACTGGCGATCATTGGTGATCATTGGTTAAAAGAAGTTATTTCTAGTTAAAATAGCAATGATAATTGTTATTATTATTATTAATTGCTGATCCGCGAATGAATGAGAGAATTTATTGGTGATTAACGGGGCAAAAATGGTAAAAAATCGTCAGTTGACAATGTTTAACAAATAATAAGGCACGATGTTTTGGTATTACAAATTTTATTCTTTTTATATATGTATAAAGTAAATCCCATAGATTATTGTATCAAAATATTAAAGGGCTTGAAATGTTTCTTGAAAATGTTTATATGTAGGAAGCTGAGATTTCAAGAAGTTCATAACATAAAAATTTGGAATTTTTTAATTTTCAGCCAACACTATCAAGTATTGTGACCAGAGCTATACATTTTTTTTTATCGGTTTATTAACAAAAAAACTTTTATTTTACCAAATGAACCACATGTTGTTATAAGTCAAGTCAATAAATAACTGCAAAAGAATTTTAAAGTAGTATACAATGATCTTGAAAGAATTCTAAGGCTGTTCTTTATACTTTTTGTGTATACATGAGAGTTAACATCTGAGGATGGTGAGATTTGGGAATTTTCTTAACAATTATCCCCAAGATTTTATATGAAATTGATCAACATGTCTCTCATTAATAGACGGATCGTCAATTAATGATAAATATACTTACTGTATTGCCTGGAATATAACCACCACCTTAACATTTATTTCCTTATTTTTTATCATCCGTGTTAAATTAATTCATTTTTCCCACAGAAATGTCGAAAGTCAAATGTTCTTCATACTCCACTGCTGAAAAGTTCCAAGTTTTGCAATATGCAAAACAACATGTTTAAGATCGGCTGAGCACCATTTTACCATTGATCACTCAATGATTTCTCATTGCCAAAACAATAGGAATAAAGAGACGACGGATTGGTAATAATTTAGGAAGAATATAATGAGGCTGAAACTAACTTAAAAGCATGGATTTTTGAATTTCGACAGGATGGAATTGCTATAACTCCTAAAATCGTAAAACATATATGAAGGAACTTTTCACAAATCAATTTGCTGATAATCATCCAGGTTCCAGTGAAAGATTTTGTGCTTCACAATTTTGGTTTTATGGCTTTTTATAAGGCATGGTTATCTTGCTATGCGACGTAAAACAAAAATTGGCCAAAAGCTTCCTGCTCAACTTGATGTCAAATTTCTGAATTTCTATAAAAAAGCAAAAACAATTTGACTTTTAGAAATTGGAAATATGGACTAAATTCCTGTTTATTTTGATATGGTTGGAAATATATATGAAGTCAAAGTCAAAACTCAAAGATCGAAAGCTGAAATTACATCATACAACTGGCTGAATATACAGAAAAATTAATCAAAGCTTCAAATTGTCATAGCTCGGTCAATAATCCGGCTGTTTTGGATAAAACAACTACCATTCGAATTCTCTCAATGATGTGAGTCTAATGATATGTAAGATACTTTGACCTACCATATATATTACAATAACTCACCATTTATTGATGATATAAACATTAAAGCACCTTTATTCGAATCCTTTTTATGAGACTATTCTAATGAGCCGCATTTCGTTAAATTTGAATCACTTGTTCTCGAGACAATTAATTTTGGAAATATTAATTATAACAAATCATGTGATATGTCATAATTTCGACCTTTTCGACATTTGGGAGTCAAAATCAAAATGACCAAAATAAATCTCGACCCCGAAATTAAATCATTACGACTTTATGTATAGTTGGAAATCTAACTATTGATAAACATGGTGCAAAACTTGCAGGTTCAAATAATTGGAAATAAAAAAAATCGTTTTACATGTGTCCTTACAATCCTCGCAGATGATAAAAAATTGCCACCAATTGTTGTTTTTAAAGGTAAATGAATGCCAAAAAATCTTGCCTCCTCAAATCGTCGTACTAATGCATGCAAAAAGGATGATAGGTGAAGTTGGAATGAAAGCTTTGTTTGATAAGTTGTGGAAAAGAAAATCCAGAATTAATGGAATTATGAAAAAAAGCGCTGCTTGTTATGAATAGCTTTGAAGGTCACAAGATGAATCCTATCAAAAAAAATTGCACAAGATGAAAATACTGATCTAGCAATCATTCCATAGCTGTTGTTCAACCGTTTGATGTTTGTATTAACAAACTATTCAAAGATAGACTTTGTGAAAAGTGAAGTTCGGTAAACCCATCTATAGCAGAAGTGGAAATTCAAGAAAGCCTGAGCATAATGTTATTTGTAAGTGGATTCTTGACGTTTGGAATGAAATGCCAAAAGAAATGATTGTAAAATTATTTAAAAAGTGTGATATTAATGATGCGATCGATGGATCAGAAAATCATTTGTTTGGGCAAAATAAAAAATTTCTTTCTATATATTTATTATGTAAAAATAATTTAAAAATATATGTGATGCATATATTTATTTTTTGTTGCAAATTTATACTGGCGCTTATCAAAGTTCCGAAATATTTAGGCACATTCCGAATCAATTTCTATAAACATGAAATAAAGAAATAGAATGTAAGACACACACAATTTATTTATTGTTGTTGTTGTTGTTATTATTATTATGGAAAACGCACGGAATCTTCCGGTGAAATACGCCAAAAAATATGGGATAGATATGAGATGTATACGGAACACATGCTAATGCTAATGCTAAATACGAAATACACACGGTATTTGCCAATACTAATACTAATACTAGTATTTCCCGTATTATATGAATTACGCGATGTGTTAAATATGAAATGCGTACGGGAGAACAAATTCCGTATCGGTACGTTTTCCGTAAATCTCATGTGTATTTCGTGTGTATAGATTTCGTATGTATCCAGTACTTTTTTTGCATTTTCACTGGAAGATTCTCCATACGTTTTCCGTAAATCTTGCGTGTATTCCGTACATTTTCCGTTAATAATTTTTATAGGGCAGGAGGTGAGTAAGTATGTGTATAACAGTAAAAAGTAATAAGACTTATTTTCATATTTATATATGATAACCAAATGTGTAGTTTTTGCACTTCGGTACAATTCGAAATACAACTACAAATATTTTGGAAATCAAAAAATGGTTACGACTAACAATTTTAGTGCTTATATTCCGGACAATACGGTATATGAAAATCTATTAAAACTGTAACAGTAACAGTAAATAACTATTATTATAGACGGATTTGGGTTTTGAATTTTATCCCGTTAACTTCCAGAGCTAAATCGAGACACATTACGCATCTAAGTTTCATACAGTTTCACAACATGCATGTTATTTTTATTATTATTAATAAGAAATAAATAATTAAAGTTTATAATTATATAAAACGTATAAAGTATCTTAGTATGAAAAGTCCAAAAATGACAATTTACTACTATATAGATTTGTGATACAATAATACAAAGTTGTATTTTTTTTTTTAGGTTTGATAATTCTTAGAGGCAACCTCTCTCTACTACTACTTTACAAATAAGAAAGTTATAAAGGAGTTCCAGCTTTCCAACAGTTTCACTTTAGGACACCGGTGCTCTGAAATTTTTAAAGCGCTAAAAATTTTTTGAATGAACAATTTCACATGTCCATGTAGTAACGCTAGCAATTTTAAATAATTTAGTGTAACGTAAAAAAAGAAAATGAATTGATAAAACACAAATTTAGTATGGAAAAATAGGGAGTGACTACGCACAAAACCTTAAAAAATTAAGGTTTCGATGTCAAATATAATATTTAACATGCCTTATTTATTATCACTATTAATACAAAAGTATAATACTCGTCCACTCATATTGTTTTAAGTATATAAATAAATGCCCGAATTATAGAGTTTGCCTCTGTAAATACTTTAAGAAGTAAAAGATAAGATAATTAAGATAATAATAGATAATTCAAAAGATAAGCTTGTTTAATAAATTTAGCCAATAAAGCAAATTTTATTTATTTGTTTTTTTTAACAGTTGGTAATTGTTTAAAAAAAAAAAATTAAAGAAAATAATTTATTTACTAAATTACCCGAATATTAATTAAATAATAATAATAATAATAATAATAACAATAATAATAATAATAATAATAATAATAATAATAATAATAATAATAATAATAATAATAAAGAAACCGTTCACGAAAAGAGAAACAATTGTCGTAATTAGTTAACTTTTTTTAATACGAAAACAAATAATAATAACGACGATAAGACGAAACAAAATAAATTTACGAAAAAAAAAAGTTTGTCGCCGATTTTCGATTTTGCCAAATTTTTTTAAAAAAAATATATTTTGACGAATTTACATTTTAGTCCCAAAACAAATTATATTCTCCTTTCTTCTAGTAGTCCTCTTATTCGTTCAGCAAGAAGATTATATCTTTCTTTCGTTGAATAATCTGCTTGACCGTATGTTCTGCCAGATGCATATTTAATAAGTTTCGTGTCCTTTTCGCCCACTCTGCGTGCTTCATCCCCAAACTTGATGTGGTACAAATGAATACCTTTAAGACGAACAGAATCTATATTTATTCTCCTTATTATTTCATTTAGATCTATATTCTGTGGTGTGTTGATATTATTTAATTGTACCTGCGCCATCAGCGCAACATATTTCTCTTTGAAATTCATGGCTTATAAGTTTTGTTGTGTATGTACGTTAAATATATTATTTACTTATTTATTATTTTTAAATTTTGAGAAGAAAAACTCCAAAAAAACTCGAAATAATTTGATCAGTCTTTTTATAATGTTTTTTTTTTGAAATAAATTGGATCCACGTAGAAGTACATATGACCGAACTTTAAAACAATACAAGTTCAATAATTGAATCAATCAAATACATTTTATTTTTACCAATTGTTATTATTGAATAAAAAATATATATTATAATTGCCAATTATCGACAAGCAACAAATAAATATTTTGGTTTTTGTTCCATCATGGGAAAAAGAAAGTGTGATCTTAGAATGAAAATATCACGCAATCAAAAGCGTCCTTTTTTTTGTTATCTGATTAGTTATCCTCTATAATATTTACACGTAATTTATTAATATTTTGATTATCATTTAATAACAATTACAGGGGAGGTTATTTATTAGTGACCGTTTTAGGAGGGAATTAAATGATCCATGTCAATTATCTCGTCGTATATGATTACACTGATCATTATTACATAAAAAAGAGCTACTGTTCAATGAATGATACGTTATATACCAGGACTAATCGCGTAATATTATTGACGGAACTTTAGTCAGGATTAATAGCCAAACAAAATGATTAATCGTTGTTGATCATTTCTATAATAATTGAGGAAAGACGAAAAATCTACAGGTGCTACAAAGTAAAGTTTTTTATTAAAAATCAAAAAAATGTATCAATATATTCTTTGATGTTTATTCCATCTTATAAAATAAAGGGATATAAATTTGACGTACAAAAACATAGTGCTATTTTCTTGTAAAAGATCATCAAGTAAAATTTATTAATAATGAAATCAGCACTTCTAGATTATTTTTTGCCAATCTTTGATATTCATTCTTACTATGTACGAGACACTCATTCATTCGCAGATCACCGTAACTATTATTTTACAATGGCAAAAATGGACTAGTTATAGATATCACCACCTGGGGTTAGCATTACTGATAAATCACTGCTGATTCAATTGATTGTTAATGTTATCAGAAACATCTGATAATAAAATCAAGTGATGTAAATGATATGTGCCCCCGTTCTTCAAGATCTAATCCATCAATGACTTGAACAATGTCAGAACAATCATTGTCTTTATTTTTTTTGTCATGGATTCCAAGTTGTCACTTGACAAATAATATTAATACATATTTATTAATAATAGTTTATATTATGCCTAATTTTAAAAATACGACCACTCCTGCCTATTTGCATATGCCAATATGTATTTGTGGGGCTTTAATAAAACTTTGATGTATATGCACGCACATAAGTTTTGGTTTAGAGCCGAAAAAATAGTAAGCATGCAGATAGACGGATGCGACCGTATATCTTTAAATACT